CCATACCAGCTAACAAACCCCTCCATCAAAGCACCTAGTGGAAGAGCCAAAGACTCCCAAATCACCTCTCCTGTTTAATCCCCTCTCAAACTCAGGGGCCTCCATTCATAACAGGGCATCGTGTTGTTCTGATTATGCATGGTTTAGCAATAAAAAAAATTATCTTGCAACCCCAAAACACTCATATTTACTAAATTATTATATGCTTAGATATCTCCAGTCCATACATTAAATATTAAATATCTTCTGTTATAGGCAAGAATAATTTGAGATAGATGTTCTAATATTTTCCCACACCCAGTGGAGGCCTCTCTCCAACAAAAGGATGACATGTTTGCATGGATGGCTCTTCTAAGCCTGAGCCCTGGGGGGGGGGGGGACGGGCAGGGCATGATGGGAGTCACAGAGTCAGTTGCCCAACCTCTAAGGAAAAGCCAGCGACCCTAAAATAGTCTGAAGTGTGGCATTTGGTCCAGGTAGTTGATGACAAATTGTGTCCTGTGTCACAAATTCTGGCAAGTTCTGGGTGACCTGACTTTTCTAGAAGTGGGAGAGGAAGATGGGGGAAATAACAATGGCTCGCAGCCAGTATGAACTCGCCTATGCCCTCCTCTTGATGGGTATCACAGAGTCATTACAATCCCCCAAGAGGGACCCTTAAAAGAGGCCTGGTTAAGCCTCCTGGGGGGATGTTTCCTGGCGCTGAGATGGCAGATGTCCGAGTTGGAAGGGACACTCTGACCCACAGCCTGGATTCATAGTTAGATTTACAGGCTCTGAGTGGCCGCAGCCCTCCAGGACATCTCGAGGCAGATGGGGAAAAGCTAGGCTATAACTCACTGTATCCTGTTCTTTTCTTACTCCTAGCCTGCCACTGTTCTCCAGAGGCACATGATCCCTGCAAGAGCCACTCAGTGGAGCACTGAGATGGGAGCCCCAGGTCGCAGTGGAAATGTCATGACACCGGAAAGGGCCATGCATACACGGGAAGGGCCATAGTTGCTCACATACCACATACCCAAGACTCATCTGAACAGGGGGCCAGCATCCTTTCCAGACATGAAGGGTCAGCTGGCAGAGTCTGGCAGGGCAAGGATTAGGGTTTCGAGACAAAGAGAGCAGCTAGAACCCAGCAGGACCCTAAGGAATCTCCCCAGCCTTCAGCTCAGCCCTCCTGGCTCACCATATAAGTACTCTCAAAGCCACAGCCAGGGTTCCATGGGATTTGCCCAAACTATCATGTTCTCAGCTTCCAGGTAGCCTTAGAGCTGATGTCCTTGGCCCGAGAGGGTACTGTGAAAACTTAGTCTCCTGAGCATACTGGAGTTGAAGATTCTAGGTCATAGGAGATGCTGACACGGACCAGCAACCTGACCTCAGTATGAAATCCTGCTGCCAAAGAAGCCCAGGGTTCCAGCTTCCATCCTCAAAATCACTCTATCCAAGATCTATAGCCTCTTCCCTTTCAAACCACACCTCCAAGGCATGCTTCAACTCCACCTATCTATTTCTCAGGCTTAACCCCAATTCTGGGACTCTGAACACATTGTGCAACCACTGGAGCCTTTAGGGCTTGGCTCATGCTTTATCTAGGAGTCCAGTTCTCACTGGCCTTTGTCAAGGCTGGGTCACCCAGCTCAGTCCTTAGAACAGAACCGAGGTTCCTAGAGAGCAGAGCCCCCAGATGACTCTTCAGTCATCAGAGAGTCTCCAAGGGAAAGGGAATACAACATCTAAAATCCTGCCAAACACCTGGAACCCTATGGCATTCAGACGGATATACAAATGGCGGCTCAGTGCCTCAGCCAAGAGTACATGGTCTTTGAAAGCCTGGGCAACCAATCTCAAGAATATCTGACTCAGTGATGCCACTCTCTGTACCCCCATCTTCTATCAACCATTCAAAGGGCACACTATCCCAAACCAACACAACCCTGGTCTAAGGAGGCAGCCTCGGCAACCTATCATCTTGGCCACTACCCTCTCGCCTTTGTGTCGTCAGAGCCTGGTTGGGTGTGGCTGCCCATGAACCCTTATGGATAAGTCTGTGGTATATTAAGAGCTACAATAGCAAAAAGATTACCCCTTTGAACAAAAAGGGGACAAGAAGGAGGAAGGAATCTGGAGGGAGGGGGTTCTTTGGAGCAGCTGGACTATGACTGGATGAAGGCAAGACCCCACTGCTTCCCTGATGCCGTGAAGCCGATTTCCTTCTCATATTAATGGGGTGGTCAAGGGTGTAGAGTCTACCCAAAGCTCTAGGTGGGAACAGCCACCACTTGGAGTGGCACCACAAGAGAGTTAGGGCTTCAAGAAAACAACCCTTGTCTGTCTAAAAACTGTGCACAAAAAGTTCGCTATCTGAGGAAGGATAGCCTGAGCTGTCTGTCCATGCCCAGAATCTGTCCAACTGCGTGCCATCACCCAGGGTGACAGGCTAACATGCAATGACCCTCCTGACCCTGTATCTCTAAAAACATATCTGAAGGACACCTTTCCAGGCCACATTAAGGTTGGACCCTGCCCTGCTCTGTGTTCCTCTCTGCCTTCAAGCACCCATCCCTTCCAGTAGGCCTTGGGTTGGGGATCTGGGACATATGCTGAGCAGACCAGTATTGGATGCTAGAATCAGATCACAGGCCTGGGAAAGACTACCTTTGCCCTTAATCTTCCATTTCTTAAGGGGTAAGATGAGAACAAGGGCATGTTCATCCCTGAATGAGCACTTCTCTCCCATCTTGAGGCTCTCTGCCTCTGGACTGAAGTCTGGGCCCTTGGTTTAGTCAATACCAGACACACACATAATAGGACACTGGGGGAAAGATGGGGTGAGAAGGGGGTCATCCAACCCCTGACCTCTGACCTCCGCCACCACCCCTGTGGTGTCAGGTGGATGGATGTAGGAGAGTCCAACACACACAGAGGGGCTCCCGATGCACTCCCTCTCATATCGCCACAGGCACTTTCCTGGGATGCTCTAATGTCAGAAGGGAGCAAGAGGCCACCTGGGCCCCTTCCCCCTTCCATCAGTGTCTCCAGGAAAGGCCAATACTACTCTTCCCTATGGAACTCCTTCCCCAAGCCTCAGTTTTAGAGGTGTGACACCTCTGTGTGGCCATAAAGAGCCTATGTGATTGTGATCAACCCTGCCTCCCTGAGGGTTCCCAAAGATATACACATCCTTGGAGCAAAGAACAAGCCAGACACAGCTCACCAGCTCCCAAACTCTCCAGTCCTTGGCACATCCAGTCACCTGAAAACCTCTATGCCCAGCTCCTGAGCACAAGCCACTAAGTGCCCTCCATCCATCCCTCCACCCAGGGGTGCACTTCCAGGTCCAAGCTTCCCTGACAATTCCCCTCCAGACCTTGCCCCAGGCATTCTCAGAGATGGGCAGGCACCTTGGCCTACATGGGGGTAGAGGCTCTTCCCTTGTCCTCCTCTCCCTTCCCCTTTGGTTGTCTTTCTGGTCATCCTTGGGCAGGCTGGAGATGGTAAGGAGTAAATAGCAGAGCTAAGATATGGGTCAGTCTTGTCTCCTGGACCAGGAGTCAGGGATATCTCTTGGGGCTGTCCATCTCACTTAAAGTATAAGCTTTGTAAGAACCAAAGCTGTCTCCCTTAAACCAAGAAAGCTGGTGGGCTCTAGAGAGAACAAGACTGCGGTTCCTTCAGGCTTTGTAGCCCTGAGGCAATGGCTGGAGCAAAAAGAAGGTGGACACTGAGAGGGAGGGGGCAGTGTCCACAGCACACTGGGTCTCTTCTTGCTCTAGTCTGTCCCCAAGGCAAAGAGCTACCCTAAATGCCTCCCTCAGAGCCTGGCCACTATCCTATCCATCCTTTAGAAGCCCTGGGGCAGAAAGCAATGAGGGGTCCTCTGAACATCCCAGGGCCACCCACACCCTTGGGGATGTGGGAGGGGGCAGCCGGGTAGAAGGGGTGGTGGTCACCTGGCTGAGGGATGAAAGAAAGGCTGTGCTGGCTCTGGGTGCCTGAGCTCTTCCTTTCTGTCCCTCCCAGGCCTCTGGCCCCTGTCCCTACCAAAGAAACATAACAACAAAAAAGAGCAGGCCACCACCGACACCGCGGGGCTCACTCAGACGGGGCAAACCAGACAAATGCCAGGCAGAGTTCAATTTTTGAAATAAACAGAACCGCAGAACTGTGGAAAAAATCCCTTTCCCAAAACATGGGTCCTCCTCCCTTCTCCCTCCAGCATCCTGACTCAGAATTATCCTGGGCAGTTACCGAAGCCCAAGCCAGGAAAGGGTCTGTAGGAGCCCAGGGTGGGAAGGAGGGGGGGGTATCTCGGAAATGCCCAAAATGGGATGGAGAGGGCGGCAGGGGGGGGAGCGAGAAAGGAAAAGCAAAGAGGTAGGCGTCCATGACGGCCTGAACACGTCCATGTCCGTCCGAAGTCTCCTCGGGAGCAGCCAGCTCCCAACTTGTTTATTTATTGGCATGTTTTGCTGTCTCCAAAAGGAAAGAGTTAAAAAAAAAATCTCGACCGGTTCTTAAGCAGTCCCTATCAGTCACCTTCCCTCCTCAGCTAAGCATTGCCTCTGCCACCGCCACTATCTGCCACCGCCTGTCAGGAAACCGAGCCGCCTCTACTTTATTCCACTTGAGCGTGGCCAAACTGTTGCTATTTAGTGGGGGGCAAAGAACCCAATTCGCACCCTCAAAACGAGCCGGCAAGAGGGTGGAGGCGAGGACAGGAGCTGGGCCCCAGGTGTCCTCTGCCCGGAAGGGTCCTCTCTAGGGAGAGGTACCCACCAGCATCATCGGATCACGCCTGGCTAAGGCAGGAGTCACCTGGAACACGCAGCCCTATAGCATCTCCCGAGCCAGGGCGAGCCTGACGCGCGCCCGGCAGGCTGCGAGCAGAGGCGAGCTGGGGAGCGCAGGGCCGGTTCCCGGGCCGCGGGCGGGCAAGAGGGAGGCACGGAGCTGGGGCGTGGAGGGGGGGGGGCGGGCTGGGCAGCGGCCGCCTGACTTACATGGAAGTGATATTCCTTGAGATGTCCGTGATGTTGATACTGGCGTTCCCATTGCTATTCCCTGAATCCTGCCCTTCCAGGAGGGGGAAGAGGTTCCCATCGTCCGGCCGCCGGCAATTGATCTCAGTCTTGCTGCAGACACAATTTGCAGGGCAAGCCAGCACCGAGCCCACATAGTCCAGCCAGACGCTTCCCAGCAAGAAAATCCGCCAGAAACTACACTTGGCTGGGCAAAGAGAGACATCCATCTCCGATCGCTGCTTCTAAAAAAGAGGAGGAGGAGGAGAGGAGAGGGGGGTGGGGTGGGGGGAGTGGGGAGATCAGGGGGGGAAGGAAACAAAGACGACGAGGGAGGGGGAAGGGGGAGGGGGCCTCTGCCTTTGAAACGCCGAGCGATCAGATGCAAAATCCTTCAGCGTCGGAAACCATCGCGGCCGCCGCTGCCGCCGGGTGGGAGCCGCGGGGAGCGCCTAGTGGCGCGGTCTGCCGGGCATGGTGGCCGGCTCGGCGCTCGCCGGCTTGCGGGGTCCAGGAGCTCTGGAAACGAGGCGCGCTCTCCGACTCCGAGACTTTGCAGGGTTGCCACAACAGACGGTGGGAAGGCGAAAATAATAATAATAAAAGGGAAAAAATGGTGCTAAAGTCACCAAGTCCCACCTCCTGGGTAGAATTAAAACGGACACACCTGCAAAACACACTCTCACACACTCACATACACACGCGCGCGGAGCAGGAGGAAGGAGGAGGAGGAAGATGCAGTCAGAGCTGCAGCAGCCGCCGCGAAAGGCTCGCTACGCGCCTGCAGAAATGTACAAGTGCTCCGAGCCTTACGAAACGCACGGGTTATCGGAGCGTCTTCCTCGGCTCCCTCCCTCCCTCCTCCCCTCCCTCCTCCCCTCCCTCGTCGCGGCCTCCTCCCCCCGCCCCCCGCCCGGGCTGGGAGAGGCAGGAGAGCGGAATCTCCCCCTCCCTCCCCTCCCCACACCCCTCTCTCTCCCCGCCCGTCCTCTCCCTCCTGCTTCCCCACCCACCCACCCACTCGCCGGCTCTCGGCTCTCGCCGGTACCGCCACCCGCAGCCGCGCCGCTGCCTGCCCGCTCCACGCCTAGCGGCCCCGCGACCGCTCGCCGCAGCCGAGGGGAAACCAAGACGGAAGGGAAAAAGTTGCAGTTGGGATTCCGAGGGTCGACGCTGGGGAGGGAGAGTTGGCAAGCTGGATGCGCGACACGAAAGGCGGTCTCCTTTCCACTTTTTGGCCCTCGTGCTGCCCGGTTTTGCTGCAATCTCCTCCGCGGGAGGAAGCGAAATGAGCGCGGCCGAGTGACCCGGGGTGCTCCTCAGCCTGGGTGAGGGGCGCAGACTCGCGGACAGTGACCAGGCACAGGAGCTCACAGGAACCCGAGCGAGGCAGCCAGGGACGCCGGCTACAGACGTGCCTAGATCTGAATGACACTCATTTGGGTAATCGAGTCCTGGGAGCTGGGCTCGGCTTAGGAGGGGATTGCGGGACATGGCACGCTGGGTGCCCCTTTGCCCACTGCTCCTTCTTGGCAGTGCGTTTTGGGTTCCGCCTTGGGCAAGCGGGAGCAGAGAAGGACGGAAGGGGGAAGGAGTGCCTGCAAGACTGCGCTGGAGAACCGAGGTGGCCCTGGGCGAGCGATGCAAGTGAAAGAAATTGAGATGCAAAGGGCATTATTTGGCAAGCGCCACGCCAGCACCGTCAGAGGCCGACTTCTTGGGCTCAGCCCTCGGGTGCGCTGAGCTGGCAGCCGGGTGAGGGGGCGGGCGGGCTGCTTTCTCCGGATTTGGGGGGCGCAGAACCTCCCTCTTTCCCTCCCCGCAAACACCCCTTCCTGGTAGGGGCGAAAAACAGGTGCAGCCTTCGAGGCAAGTTTAGACTCGGTCGGAAAAGAAGTATATTCCCCGCTTTTTAGCCTTGATAGGATTTTTTAAGATAAAAATAAAAATAATATGTAAAATGGGAGCTATTTCCTGAGAAAGCCTGAGATTTTGCTGTGGGAAAGGAGAAGAAAGGGTTAGGGAAGTCCGAGCAGGCAGACACATACAGCATTCACACACAGAAGAAAGCGGCGCTCTCCTCCCCAAGCTTGGGTGAGGGCAGGCTAGGAAGCAAAATACATTGAATTCAACTGCATCCAGGATCTGAAAGGATTCTCCCCCGCCCCCCTGTGGATTCCGATGCAGGTCATGCAACTTGCAGGCAAGATGGGGGAAGGGGTATTGCAGTGCCACTAGCCTGTCCCTGGTGCCACGGACAGACAGACCCGATGTCTTATGGTGGCACTTTTTGCAGGGAGTAAACTTGGATGAAAAGAGGGAAAGAAAAGAACATGCCTATAAAAGGCAGCTTTTCCGACTTCGTATTACATCTTGCCTTCCTTTGGCCTCAAAGAGACTTTTACACCCTGTCGCCATGATGGCCTTGTCCCCAGAATGGCATTTTGCCCTCCCGCCAGCAGGAGGGGACAGAGTGGAGACAGCCTTAGACTCTTAAACCAATTCCTACTGGCCCCAGGCCAGTCCCTGGTGTCCTTGTCCACTGGGAATCTCCCTGACACTTCAAGTGCTATTCTAAGTGACTTTGGGGTTCTCTGGGAAGCAGAGAGAGACTAAGGGGTAGCCAATACACTGAGCTTGGCATCTATCGGGATATGGCAGAGAGGGGACCAGGGAGCATTTCCCAGAACACCCAAGGCCAGACAGAGTAGTGATTGCAGAGTGGGTTTAACAGAATTCCACTGTGGAGCAAACCATGGTTGTATCTTAAAGAGTGCCCTAACCATGTTAGACAGAGATGATTTTTAACTCTTCCTGCAAAGAAGGGTAGATATCAATATGTCAGCATTTAAAAACAAAACTTTAGAAACCTCTCCAGAGAGGGGAAATTCAGGCTGTGAAGTAAGGGATCCTGATGGTTCCAGAGGTCTTTCCTTCTTATCAGCAGGTAAGAGTAAGTTAGGGTGCTAGGGTCTCCCAGGAGCTTTGAGTCTGCTCTGGAAGGAAAGCTTAAAATGAAGAAGGGCCTTCTTTATGTGGACTGCAAGTGGGAGTAGCAGGGTTCTACCTGTGATCCTGGACAAATGGATGTAAGATGCTCTGGGCCTCAGCTTTCATATCCATAAAGTGACCACATTGAACCAGACCTTTGCTGTCCTCTAACTGGTGGCATCCACAGTCCTGAAAGCTTGTGATGACACAGCTCCTTAGGCAGCACCAAAAACTTAGTAAAGGAAACATTTTAAGAAGTTCCCCAGGTGACTGACAGGCATTGGGGGGGTGGGGTGGAGGCTTCTGAAGCACTCCAGCTTGAATCATCTCTGGTTCTATATGAACCCTGGGTGAAGGGACACTGGAAAGGAAGAGGGGTTGCATGTGGGTTCACAGTAGCATCCTCTTAAGAATAAAATGAGCTGAGTTGCTTGCAAAGATGGAGTTTGGGGCTGGCAAGATGACTGTCATCAATAAAGTGCTAACCACACAAGAATGAAGACTCAGCACCCATTTTTTCAAATAGATTTAACAATGTATATTGCTAGGGAGTGTAGAGACCAGAGGGTCTCTGGTGAATGCTGAAACAGCAAGATTCAGTGAGAGACCCTGTCTCAAATAATAAGATAGGGAGAAATCAAGGAAAGCATAAGACATCAACTCTGGACCCCACGTGCACCCACACACTGTACAGACACATAAACATGTACACACATAGACCTTTAAACTTTCACTGCCAATGCAGCTCCCACAGCCCACAGAAAAGCAGCCAAAGAAAGCCAGAGTTGGGTGAGAGAGTAGGACAAAGTCTCTGGCATAGACACCTTCCTCTCAGTCAGCAGGTACCCAGAGCATTTGGAGTATCTTAGAATCTTGCTAAGAACATCCTAGCTGACAAGGAAGGATAACTTGTCATATCATCCTGAATTCCCAGTGTGTGGCCTCTGTGTCTTGGAGATATGACTCATCTCAGAATCCAGACAATCAGGCTAATCTGTCCCCATCTCCTCTGCTGCCAGATGGAGTTTCCTAAATGAGGAAGCTCACCAGTGCACCCCCCCCCCCGCCCGCTGACCAAGAAGAGACAAGAAGGAACAAAGTTTGTTTGTTTGTTTCCCCATGCAGAATATAAAGCTCTAGAAAGCTTTCACATCAAGTCAGATGCAAGGGCTTAAAGAAGACTCCAAGGGCTTCCAGAGGCTCCAAGGAAGTCTTCAAATACTTAGGCCAGATAGTACTGCCTAACAAAGCACAGCAGTTCTAGTTCCAATATAGCTACCAACATCAAGCACACGGCCCTTTCTTAAAAGAAACTTCCCCAGATGTGTGAATGACTGAAACTTCTGCTTGACTGTCAAGGAGGGATTCAGTGTCTCAAAGTCCCTGCACCTAGGAAGTAAAAATCCAGAAAGCAAAGGACATGGCAGGCTGACCCCAGCAACCATTGCTTTCCTGGACTTCCACTCACAGCTGACACCTATGGCCTACTGGTCATCTTTTTCATCTTTCCACATCTCCTTTTCCAATGGACCCACACTTCTGAGTCAGTGGCCTTATTTCTGGGATGCAGGCCAGACCCTAAGTATTGTGGATCCACCCACTATGTCTTACTCCTACGATATCAGACTGCATTGAGGAGCTTTTATGCATAACTTTCTAGCTTGAGCAGATTTAGGACCCAGTTTCTAAGTGGGAGCTGGGGAAGGAGCTGTGGTCCTGAGTGGCAGCTATGAGCTGGCTGGCTAGAGTCCCTACAAGAGAAGCACCTGAGAAGACAGTGGGGGACTGGGCTCTGAAGAACTTGCTATTCTGAAGATCTGGGTGGAAGTAACTGGGCTCATCTTGTGCTCGAAGAAGAGGGCTACTCAAAATGCTGGTGCAAGAGGTCTTATTGGAGGCTAAGAACATGAACTGCTATCCACAAGGCCAGAGGCCAAGGAGAGGATTTCAGCTATACCAGGATGCTGAAAACAAATGTGTGAAACTGAACAAATTGAGCATCAGAGTCACCCCACAAAGCGGGAAAATTTAAGCACCAGACACCCAGTTCATACCCTGATTCAAGTTCAAAGATCTTATACAAGAATCTACTGTGAGGTTGGAGCTACCTGCTAATCAGATGTGGAGTGCCCTTGTCTCTTGTTCCTGTCCATTTCAGAAGATTTCTCAGTAGATTTCTTGATTTGCCTACTAACATCTGAGTGAGCCTGTACCACTGGGCTACCTACCCTGACTGTCAGACCCATA